TCTATTTCGTCATGTTCAATTTTTTGGTCAACTATGCCTGTTGAAAATTTGATGGCGGGGAACACATGGGACTTCAAAGGCATCGCGCAAACGTTCTTTACGCGCTGCGGCAACTTTGATCTTGGTTCATTTGCATAGCGCTGCGTGCGCGTAGCTTTGCCGAGTGATCTCCTTCTCAATAATACCTCCATGGTTTAAGCATGGAGGTATTATTGAGAAGGAGATCACTCGGCAACAGATCCTTTTGACGCGACAAACCTATGTGTTCCCCGCTTTTGGATCGCGCGCGGGCGTATTACCCTATAATTCACACTTTTTCGTTAGCAACAACTTGGCAACAACATGCATTTATACGCTTCCAGCAGAGCAGTTGTGCAATAAAACGTTTGATTTTAACCCATTAAATATCTTTATAATGAACAATGTTCCCCTGATTAGATTTTTTCGGGCTTTTGGTATGTTATTATTTGTATATTTCAGGAACGGATTCCGTAAAATATTTATGTTAAAATTACTTCTGTGTTCAATAAAATTTTGTCTAAAGATTGACTGGTTCGACTATAAAGCTAAGGCAGTGTAAAACTGAAAAATACTCAGATTTTGGATTCATTTTTCGAATAGTTAACCCTCGTTAACCCTAAAATGACTTAGTTTATTATAATCCTTAATCATTTATTAATTAATATCTGTTAAAATTAGAATGGGCGAATTTAGGCCAATTTATGAAAATTGAAGTTGAAATATACTATACTTTTATAGGTCATGTAAATGTTCCATTAAATTCGAAACTTTTCTTGGTGGAAAATATTAATATGTTTGATATTTTATAAGAGATGAATGTATCAGCTTCAAAATAAAAAAGATTGCGCATCCATAGTGATTGACAGTATGTAGTGCGCATTGAGAAAAGAAGGTGCTCTCCATTTCGTCATGTTCAATTTTTTGGTCAACTATGCCTGTTGAAAATTTGATGGCGGGGAACACATGGGACTTCAAAGGCATCGCGCAAACGTTCTTTACCCGCTGCGGCAACTTTGATCTTGGTTCATTTGCATAGCGCTGCGTGCGCGTAGCTTTGCCGAGTGATCTCCTTCTCAATAATACCTCCATGGTCTAAGGAAGGGAAATATTAGCTCCCGTCGGGAAGAAGTCCATAACTTTGTTGAGGAACACTGCTTTGAAAAAGCATTTCTGCCATCTTTGAGTGCCATTTACGTGTGTCTAGAGGGGGCCTATTCTTAGAATTTACTAAACCTCAGCCCCTGGGGCTGAGATGTTTGTGAGCTCCCTATTGTCCCCCCCCCCACCCCACCCCTCTCAGAAAAGCTCTGGATTCGCCTTCGATATTATTAAAACCCGTATACTAGTGTTTACTATTAGCTGCATATGGGTTCCTGTTTTTCCTAATTTCAACAAAATTATTCCTGATGATGACATAATTAACGTCGGAATATTGAATCCCAACACGATGTCGTGTATCTCAATACTTGGATGTATTATACTTTTTTACCAAAATTATAGTTGGTTAATTTAATTTTATATAGCCGTTATTAAACAATAACTTTACAGCTTTTGACACGGATAGGTCTATCTATTTCGACTTATTTAAGTAATGATACCACACGTTTACGAACACCGATGTTACGTATGTATAAGAAAGAAAAAATGGGAATGAATACTGAATGAATAAATGAACATTGACACAATATCGCCATGGCATCATGATAATGATAAATTAAATAAATAACCTTTATTTTTGTGAAATAAAATCCTAATGTTTTGTATGCTTTATATCCCCATAGTCCTGTTTGATTTTAACTTAGACGGTGTAATTCTATAATTGTGTAGTCGCAATACTACTTGCACAAAAGTGAAATTTAAAAAGGGGAGAAAAGGGGAAACCTCTTGTTTGATTTTAAAAAAAATTACCTACCTTGTTAGAGAAAACATGTGGTCGTTTGAAGATCTAAAGTCTTGATTTTACTACGGTACAATCCGGTGAAGATTTCTATTGTTGTTTTGTGCAAACTGAAAATCAATGGAATGGTATTGTGCAGATAATGCCGTTGAAATGCGGGGAATACCCTAAAATCCAAAAAACGATGGACCACGTCACGTGATATAGGAATTTGGTGTAAATCGACACTCGATAATGCGACTGTCAATAGCCCGGGAGTCACAAGGGATATCGAATTGTATACAGTGAAGTGACCGCTGAATCGCCTCATACCTATTCGACCGTACCACTTTACTGGAGGTGACATTCCCTTAAGCACATTCACACAAGTAAAGAATTTGTGATTTCATAATAGAATACAATAAACTATACGCAGCGTAAACTACAGTAGTATAATCAAGCATTGAATAGGAATTTCCTTGAATAGTATAAACTTATGGAACTTAAGCGATTTTTGATACCTCACCTGAACTGTATATGTGGCGATGTCAAGCCAAAACGGTCGGAAGTCGCTAAGCCGATTTTAAGATATAAAGGCAAAACAATAGACAAGGTCAAATTTGCTCATTTTGGTATTTCATAAAAAACATGTATATTAAGTATCTAAGAATAGGATTCAAATAATATTTTTCACATTTAAGTACCAAAAATACTGTAAAACGTGATTTTAGTTAGACACTCGAACCCGGAAGTATGACAAACGAAGGCAAATCATCGTTTAAAATACTCACGAAATTACTGTTTTTTTTTCAATCGTGTTCCGGGGTCAAACTCGTGTCAAGTTTGATATCGTTGGAAAGCTTAGAATGTCAGCTACAATTTTGATTGGTCAGTTCATCCTCACAAATTGTTTAACCAATCAAAACAGTCGTTTTGGTACTGTAAACAATTCGGAAGTTTGGTAGTACAGGTACATGAAAAATGGGCTATACTGTATAACACAGACTTGATAAAGTTGACGACGAATAAAACGCGTTCTGTAATAGTTTAACGCACTAGTTTCAAGGTCGCAGTGTTCGATTTCCGGTTGTTTACACATCACATTTGAATCCGTAATATCACATTTATTAATGAATGTAAGTACATGAAACTTGGTACAGTTATAAAATACATTATTTAAAATGTTTCTGCGAAATTTCATTTC